GTGGAATAAAGGGAGGTTTTGGTTTGATTCTCCTCCAAATTTTAACTTCTAATGAAACTAAAACCCAGAATAAAGCTAACAAGAGCTAGTTGCGCATTAATGCAAATAGTATGCTCGAACAGGCACTATCAAAAAAACCTCACTTTAGTGAACTTTTCAATAAAACCAATTTCCGAGTGCAGATCCATTAGTAAACCCAGCCCATGATGGCTGCGTGCTGTACAGGGACGGACTCGCTGCACAGCATCACCAGTGCCGGTGCCAGCCATCAGCTTTCTGCTGAGCTAGGGGACCAACACCAGCCAGGCTTGCTCTGGCTGAGCCTTCCCTGACCCATCTTCAGTGTGTGTTGGACTAGGTTTAGCTGTGACGGCCATTTCTTTAGCTGAACAAGTGCTTATGGCCATGATTCCAACACAAGGATGCAGCATAGTGAAGGTGGTGCCTGCACAGAGCTCTTTTTGCTCCCCATTCAGGTCCTGAGCACAGGAAGACAGGCACCCATGCCCACACAGGGAGAAGGTGCAGCATCCTTCTCCTTCTCACCACCTCATCCCATGGTAAGACTATAATTTGATTCCTCTCCCAACAGCTATTTTTGGCTTTTCAGCACTGAAATTAGTATGATTTGTTCAGACAGGAAGTTGTTGCTGTAGCACTAGAGAAGGGTAATTGGAAATGAACACTGGTCTTTGATTAAAAGACAGACGTCTAAAACCCTTTTAATAAAACATACCTAAACAGACATATAAGACAGGCTTATCAAAAGAATGCTTTAATCCTTTATCCTGACTTCATTTAGGCAAAAGACAATGAAACCACTTTTATAACAGTACTGGATAATTTACCAAGGGCTTTCTGTAATGGCAAGGAAATGACTGAACAAAGCTTTTTAAATAAAAGAAAACAACAAGAAAAAATATCAATAGAAATCAAAGTTCTACAACGTGAGACATATCTTGACTATGCAGGGTAAACACAACCATCTGGAGCTATCCACAAAGCCTTCACTCAAAAAATAGTTTAGAACCCATACAAAAGAGGTGAGATGGTTTTGTAAGAATCCAAGTAATTGACTGAGGACCTGTCAGACACACATCTTAAAGGAGCTCAACTCCATCAAGACTTCCCTAACCCCAAAGGGGAAATAGGCCCACGTAAATGTCTTCTGTATTTCTGGTGCTGGGGGAACTAGAGACAATGGACATTTTATGGCAAGAGTGTTTTTCTCTCCTCACTCCTCCTTTCCCACCAGAAGGTCCCTGTCACCTACTCATTCCACTCCCAGTTCACCCCATCTCCCCTTTGCTCCCCTCTCCCTGATACTAATCCAGTGACCTGAGCTACTCCAAAGAGGCTTTAGGACCGCAATAAGAACCACCAGACTCTGTAACATAATGATGCTGCCTGAATCTGAAAGATACTTGTCTCCTCTCCCATCCTGTTCCCTTCATGTATAGTTAATTTTGTTTTGAAATAAACATTTCCCACCAGAGAACTGAAACGTGCAGGGCGTGGATTGCTTTCTAAAACTGCTCCCATCAGGTAATTCACAAGTGGTATTTTTAAACCCATCACTCACTCAAACACAGACATTACACCCACCCACCCACAGACACTTCTTTGTCTTGCAAGAGGCTGTAGGCAGCAAGACATCACACATACAGATGGCACATTTGATAGGAGCCTGACCTTCAGGCTGTCATGAACACACCCTCCTTGGTATTCATTTCTATTTGAGGAAAAGGCAATTGTGCCAAGTTGAGGATGCACATGACAAGGAAACAACTTGAGGGAAGACACGAGCAGGTACCGAGGGGAGAAGCTGGGGTCACCATGCCATGGCAGGTACTGAAATTCTCCTGTGCCATGCAGACCCCTGAGAGCAGCTGCCTGGCTGCCTTCAGCCAAGGGAAAGATCCCCAGGAGATGCCACCCCAGAGTTCCCAGCATCAGGGGAAGCTCCCTGACATGCTACCTTGGAGGCAAGGTAAGAGAGGCCCAAGAGCATGGCCTGGCTACTTTAGCTATACAAAACCACACTTGGGTTTTGTCAAATCCTGAGCGAACGGGAGGCAGCATTAGAGCTGAAGTAAGCCACTTGCAGGCTGTATGGAATATTAGCAGTAGAACCAGGACCACAACAGGAGATGTCAATAGTCCAGGCTAAGGCCATGTTATTTCCGAATCAACGAGGAACAGATTCAGTGCAGTATTACACAATTTTCACGTCTTTATGGACAAAGGCTTTGCTGCTTGTCATCACCAAAGATCACAGCACTTATTAAACAGTCTTGACAAATTCCTTTGTGAGTCTTGACATGCTTTGCACATCAACTTCCCTGTCACAAGCAGATACAGCTTTTTTTCTCCACTCACATTTCTTTCATGGTGCTGCCAAACAGCTGCAGAGCTGCTTCACATGGCAGTCAGGTTCCGTACTTCATCATGTGGCATCCATCCGTAATATGAAAAGCATTTGAACCCCTTGTGCTGAGACTTAAATTCCTCTACACAGACAGACTTAAGGCTTTTAATCAGTGGAACATCAGCTGCAAGGTAGATGAGACACACCACCACCTGATCCTGTTCGGACAGCAGTCTCTAACTGCATTCGTGTCTGTAGCGATTAAGTGAAATAACCACGGCCTCCCGAGCCACACCTGAAGATGCACAACATGAGTGCTTTCAGCAGAATTGCCCTTAAAATACCTCTGATTTGTGTGTGCCATTATTACAGCAATGTACAGATATGAGCTTTACAGTTTAGAGCCGTGACTACCTCTTGATGGTTTAAGGAGTTTTCCTGTTCTTTTTTTCTTCTTCTTTTTAAGAATTTGGTAAAAAAAAAAAACAAAACCAAAAAACACCATTTTGAACAATATAGATCATTAGCTGAGTCTGACTGTCTGAAAGGCAAAAATAGCCATCCCTCAGTCTGAGCTTTAAAATAGCTCCTCCCCAATGGGAGTCAAATGTTCCCTGGCTGGGACAGATGTTTGTTGCTCTCCCTCTTTTTTAAACATTTAATTTCAGCTTATGTAAGCAATGTGGTCAAACATGACACAGTCCAGTGCAGCAGCTCACAGGAGACAGGATGAGAGTCTCTAATACAGTCACTGCATCACGCCTCGAAAGACGAAAGCCTGATTTAGCAACATTACATGGGCAGCCTCATCAGAGCCTTGTCCTGTTTTGGGGTCACTTCCCACTCATTGTAAGTGCAACTCGTGTCCGTACATTCAGGCAACAAGAGTCCTGGCTGGCGCTTGTTCTTATCTCAGGCATCGTGAAAATCAGACACAGAAATACATTCAGTACAGCGTTTAATAAAGATAGATCAAGAAATAAAGAGCACCAATGCTGAGAAAAGCAATATATGGTTTTGACAAATCAGGATTGCTGGAGGACTGGAAACCATCATGTAATAAAGTAAAGGAATTATAATGTGCAAGAAGACAGAACTGCTGCTATACAGACAATGGAGCACTCCTGGAGTAGTGTGTAAGATAAATTGTGAATCCACTTAGTCTATACAGCTCTGGAACTTGTTTCTATATGTAGAACTTACCGAAAAACAGGCTAAGAACACACAAGAGGACTTATAACTTAGTCTCTCTGTGATGTTCTTAATGTTTTTAATGATATACCACACTTTGTTGAGATTTTTCATTGAAAACCTCTTAGGAGGTAGCTCAATTTCAAAATATCATCAGCTTATATGCATTTATTATTATGCTCCATCTTAAGAGATGCTTGCTAATCTTGGAAGGACCCAGGACATTGTTACCTCTAATTGAGAAGGGCAGCTTTTAGAGTAAAAAAAGCTGTGCTGAAATTCAATTTTTCATAGTATAAATATTTCAGTACAAATTCAGTACAAGGAGCCTTCTGAAGGCAGTCAAGTTTTCTTTCTTTTGAGGTAAAAAAGAAGGAAGAAATAATGTACTAATATTACTTAGTCCAGAGGATGTAATATATATGCATATATACACACACACATGTATATATTGTATAAACACTATAATTATCAGTGATTTATTTTCAGTAGATAATTTAGAAAGCAATGCAAGCAAAATACTTGCCAAGGTTTCCTGTCAGATGTCTATCATAAGATACCTAAAGAGCCACAACTGGCAATACACTGACATATCTAGGCACTCTCCTGCCTCTTCAAGAGTAAGGCTCAGGAAACCTCTCTCGTTATTCCTTTGGTGCAGCACAACTGAACTGAAGTGGAACAGAGCTGGTCAGAGGCACCAGGTGCCTTCTTTTCCTAGCACTGTCTCCAACCAGTTTTTCTACCTGGCTAACTCTCAAAAAAACTAAACTCTGCATAAAATGCCCTTATGTTTCACACCAACGCAAGCGACTATTTCCAATAGGAAAGGATGAGCAGTAGCTGTCAATATTTCCAGTTGGAGCTCCTACAGGCTGTGGTCTTTTGAGAATCTAAACTATTTGTATAGGTATTCAAAATGAAGGCCACTTCACAGGCTCACAAAAGGCTTAAGGTGCACCATTTGGTAAGGAAGTTACACAAAGATTTCCCTTAATTTCCTAATCATCTGTTAATTAATAACTAACAAACAACCACAGATGTGCTTAGAGCCCTATCAACACCATTTGGCAAACTACAACCTAACAATCTGGGAAGCCATAGTGCACGCACACATCAGCACTGCATGATCAGCTCTGGCTGTAATCAGACTCTATTTCATGTCTGTCTCTTGTTTTGTGGCTCTTTTTTTCCCTCTTCAGTGAAAGAAAAACCAGGGACACATAAGGTAAGCCAGGTATCACGGATACAACTGCCAGTGTACATGCAGTTTCTTAATCTACTGTAGAAGCCCCACCTGAATTCCAATTTGCTTCTATTTTTTTCATTTCAGGGTAAAGAATATTTGATGGAAACGTCAAACTTTATTTGTGAATGAGAACTAGCACCAAGGTCAAAACATACTTTACATTTTAAAGTAACATAAACTGAACCCTTGTACCTGGTATGGAAGTGGACGGCTCAACACCACTCTCTTGTGGGCAGAGATCTGAAGGCCTATGGCTGTGCCAAGCATGTAGATGTGCAGATGACTCCAATAAAAACAAATGTCTTTTCAGACTAACTTCTTCTTCCCAGTAGTCAGTCATGCACACAGACCTGTTCTGCCAGGGAATACAAAGCAAGACAGATATATTAATAAATGCAATGCAAACTTCTCAGAGTTTTTCCTTCACCCTTTGTTTCAAGCGTCCATTTAGCAGCTGTCACAGTGAGACACTGAGAAATCAAATTCTTTTCACCTCCCTATATTCGTCTTCTTTCTTCCATGTTTAATCTTTCTGTGCTGTTTGCTGCGTGTTCTCCCTTTCGATTTCCTCTACATGCAATTTTTTTCCTTCCATTAGCCATACTCCTCCTCACTACAGGTTAGACTTACTAATACTTACCAGTAAAAGCACTCATTTTGCCAGAAAATACTCTTAAGGAGAACCCCACATGTCCAGTTTTCCCACCCGCCTGCTGGATAATGAACAACTTCACCCTAACAGAGTAGCTGCTGTCCTGGGTTCAGCTTAAACCACAACAGCTGCAATTGAAGAGCCAATTCTAAAATGGAACAAGCATTTCATGTGAGGTACATCAATTATTGCACAGTACAGCAGACAACCAAAATGGGACCCACTGAGGCACCAATCACAGTGATACATCAATACTTCTCTAGCACATGTTGACAGAAGCTCTTATATTCACTGCTAACTGCAATGCATGGATCAGGCAATTTGGGGAAATATCTAGTCTTAACTCATTAAATCAGGGTTTAGGCCAAAGTCCAATGAAATAAGAAAGTGTCTCTCCACTGACACAGGTGCTGAGATGTGTCCCACATTTTTGTATCCAGCACACAGGCTACAAGCACAGCACAAGCATAAATGGAAACCAAAGCAAAGGTCAAGCCAGGACCTCTGGCATAATACTGGTATTAAATGAATTCGTGCCCTTCTATTGTTAAGCCAGAACTGACGCAGCCATATACCTCACTAAAAGGTTATTTAGCTGTCAAACACACTAGTGCTCAAGTCCTTCTTCCCAAGTAAAATAGAGGTGAGGACAGGATATAATTATTCTATTTCCAAATTGAATCATCTAATGAGTCACAACAATAATTTCTAGGTTGTAATGTAGCAACAACTTGGCTTCCCCCTCACCCCTATACTTTACCATGATGGTACAGCACCTCTTTCTGGTGAGAGAACTATTAATGCATCAAAGGAAAGGGTTTCCAAAAGTTACACTACCTGACACAGTGGGAACAGCTACAGACTTCCTCACTAGTACTGATGGCTCTGAGACAAGCTCAAGCTGCCTGATGACACCCAGAAGACAACCAGGCATCTTTTCTTGGACAAAGCATTTTGTCACCAAAGACAAACCCAGACATTTTAATTCAATAAAACATTTTAGAAACATGCAACAAAGCTGATAAAAAAATGTTTAATCCTTCAACATCCTCAAAACTGAAATACTTCCTCCCCTGCCATCCTATAAGCCCCAAGAAAGCTGTTTCAACACAGAAACAGGCAAAGCTTAGAAATCACATACACGTTTTCCAATAATAGCCTCCAAATCCAACGAATTTCAGGTTCAAGTTCTTGCACAGCTCTTGGGAGTCTGGCACCTTTTTTATGAATTAACAATTTCAAGGCAAAGTTAATAGCCATTATCTGAAAATCTTATGAGAAAAAGAGCTAAATACTTAGCTAGTGTAAGATTAGCACTGGTGCATTTGTCCTAATTTCTGCTGAGCTACCTGAATATCTTTCTATTAGCTAAGTACCTGGAATATTTAAAAATCACAGAAATCCACTTATCTTTGATGCACCAATAAAGCTAACCTCGTAGTACAAAGAGGGATGCTCCTGACACTCCACAAAGGTTTGAATAGGTAAAACCAATCATCTTCTAGTAATGCACAACAAAAGAAAAAACAGGAAGCTCTGAAATATCACTGCTCCTTTCAGACGCTGACTGGCTGACAGACCAGCACAATTTCAACTCCAATAAGCATGAATTAGTTTCCAGGCAAAGAAGCAGAGATAAAAGACAAAAGGATTTAAATAATTTCTTATGGGATTTTGTCAGTTTTGTTTTGTGCTTGGTCAACAGAGAGGGAGCTCAGCTGTGATTTCAGCCTCTTTTTTCTTTTAATTATTTTATTAACAATACACTTCACTATTGGCCACACAAAACATGGTAAACCTTCATACATTTCTCACTGTAACTTGTTTATCTCATCTAACCATCTTCACAATGCCTGTTGCCTTTGGGGATGAACAGAATACAAGCTATTAAAACTGCAGCATTAAAATGAAGTTAAAACATTATCTAAAATTAGTGACTTTTCAGCATTTGCATTACTGTTGTTACCATTCATTTCATCTTACTTTGACATCTCTTACAATTGTGTCAGTACAATATGCAAAGCATCCTCATTAGTAAGACATGATACTGGCAGAATGGGAAATTGGAGACCTATCTGCTGACTTTATTGCACATGCCACTGGAAGTGCCTCTGTTCTTACACTGGTGCATCTGATCCCCTATTTCTGATCTGAGGACCTCCCAGAAAATTTTCCAGTTTGGGAGGTGCATTTCATGGAATAATGAAATGGGAAATAAAAAAGTGAGATTAAGTTCATTACTACTGAATCATTGCAAACCCAAGAGCCACAAAGCATCTGTTGCAGGCTGGGATCACTTGGAGTTTTCACACTTACACCAACTTGCTCTACACCATCGCTATCAAGCAGGCAGCACAGCCATGGCAACAGCTTCAAAATAGCTAACTCCTAAGACTTATGCAAGACACACCAACCAATCCTATTTTTTACATTTTTAGTTTAGAGCTTGGCTCTTCACTTCTCTTTACAGGCTTACACTTCCACGTACAGTACATCAAAACAACACTGAAAAGTTTGGCAAGGGCAGCATTCTCTGTACTTTACTTTCCCTCAGGCCCACAATACAACCGCCTCAGCTGATCCCTTAGTTCAGCTCTTCTGGGGCCAGCCAATGCAGCAGAAACTATTGCACCCGCTCCCTTTGGCTCCCCTCCCCACAAAAGACTAGATACATCCTTCCCACACAATGGCTGAGCTCCGCTGGCCTGGAGCCTGTGAACACTGAATGGTCCCTCTGATTCAATTAATTCAGCAGAATCCCAGTAGCCCATTACCCCTGCCTCATCCCATGGAAGTCTAGGAGACTGTTTCCTCTAGTTCTACCAAGACCCATAGAGTATCATCTTCCTTCATTGAAGCTCACAGCAAAACACACTCCATACCAGACATCAAAATTCATCACAAGAAAAGCAGCAAGATTTTGCAGGGCTCAAGGATTTCCAGTTCATCAGTGGCTAACCAAGAAGGAGCACCTCCTCTACTGCTATGGTACTGTTTCTCCTTTATTTTAATTAAAATCTTAGAATGCCTTGTACCTCATCCTCTGCAAGCTTCTTTCACTTACTGTGAAATAGCTGAATATTTCATAGAGTACCGTTGTGTAAGGATAAATTATTTCAGATATTTATGTCTAGAACAGGAAGAAGTGTTCTTTATAAGGTAAAACACCAACTGTATAGTTATTGTGTTGGGGACATGTTCTTTATCTTACTGCTGGGGCCATTACTTTCCCTGTGATCCTGCAAAGCTATAGAGCATTATGCAGTGGTCAAGAGTCAAACAAAATACATGCCTTGTGCAGAAGCATACAACCATCCATCTGAACACCACAGTGAAACCTGCTTTCCCAACACTTGCCAGAGTCTCATGTAACATCAGTTCAGGAATCTTAATCGAATTAACAAGGCCCCAAAAAGCAGATTCATCCTTCTCTTTTCCATAACGGAGAGGAGAGAGAGAAACTGTGGCTGATTTTGGAGAAGCCTTTCACAGAGAGTGTTGTTAGAACTGGTAAAAACCTCTACTGAACAGGGCATCCAGGAAAGAAATGCAGATTCTGGGATATGACAAAGCCCACCAATTGATATCAAATATAGAAAATACTTCTGGCCACTAAAGAGGTCTCATTTTGAACCTTTTTCTAATTAAATCAAAGCAGCTCTTTTGGCTTGAACTGGATTTAAACTACACAGGGCTCTGAAAAACATCTAGATCTGAAAAAACTGATCTCAACATGTAGAAAATAGAATCAAACAGCAGGAGGGAAGTAACAAATCAAACAACTAAGTTAATGTGAGTCCTTTATTTTAAAACTGTCTTAACATGTCCTGAAATACTTTGCTTTGGGGTTTTGTGCATTCAGCTTTTGCAGCTGTAAAACTGGTAGCATCAGAGCGATTAATATTCATTAGCAGTTATTTACTGGTATAGAATGAGTGGAGTAGTTTCATGCTTTGGTATTTATTTTCTAATTACAATCTCTTCTTGCACTCAAATCAAATTTCTGCCTCAAACTCAGCCTTTTTTTTAATGTATGTACACCCATGAGCCAGCTTATACACACAAATAACATGCATGCACACACATACTCCCAACAAGGGCTTTTGAAACAGACCTAGATATAAGAATGTACTGCACCAGTCACAATTTTAGAGTATCATTTGTACATCTTGGTTATAGAAAGAACAGATGTTGCACGGAGAATTCCCCATTTCCACACTCATTAACTTTCCCTTGTACACAAATACTTGCACGCAAACTCCATCCACTCAGAGTATTAATACTGTGATCGTCACCTGGCTACGAGGACTAGATCTTCATAGCATTTATCAGTGAGGCTGTGGGCATCAGCCTTTCTTGCTAACAAGCTTGACATAGCACCGAGCAGAGACTCTTTGCAATAATCCTGAGACATCCCATTTAGTTCAGTCCAGAACATTTCAATGGGGTAATTAAAATTAAATAAATAAATTTAAGAAAAATCACATTATATGGCAGGGGATTGGGCAGCTTCATCTTCTAGGGTTAGGTCTAATGACAAAAGCCTCTGCAGTTTTCTGCCAAAGCTAGAACTGAAAGTAGGTCAGTCTGTGTGATTTCTTCTGTTAAACATGAGGCATTCATCACTTTCAGGTACAGCCTTTGCAAGCTAATCATTTCTGGGTGGCATTTCCAAAAGTGAGAGACCCCATTAGATCGCAGCTGTATTAGGCTTGCTGTCTTGGTGGCTGACAACAATGCTGAATCAGAAACAGAATACAGAGACAGCAGGGAAGACTGCATTTGGCATCTCACCTATTCCTGAAATTCTCTCTAATTTTCAGTTAAAGATGCAGACTCCCTGCTATGAGCAATGAGAAGCAGTAGACCTCAGAGACATTCCTGAGTGACTGAGCTAGGCTGCTATATAAAATACATGTGATCAAGCACAGCTGAGGATAGGCAAGACTAGCAGACATGCCAGCTGCCAGTACTGCAAGCCCTCTAGACAAAAATAATGTCACTGATGAGTATTTCAAGTGACTGCTGACACACTATTAGAATGGCAGCCCTTGTGAAGTCATCCTGTTAGGGAAGTAATCTCTTTGATCTCCAATGTTGCCCGAGTTTCAGCAAAGATACCAGCCACTGCGGAACTGTGAGGAGTGACACAAACCCTGAGCAGAAGTCTCCGCAGCTGAAGGCTGAGTGACACAAGCAGTCATCTCAGTGAAAACTTGACCCAATGAGTTCTAACCTTTGGGTTTCCAAAGAGGAGACATAGAATCATGAATCTTTAAATGGGACTTTTTTTTAAAGTGCTTACCTAAACTAACATTGAATTTATGAGCTGTGCTTCCAGCTCTCCTTACTGGAGGGAAAAATGTTAGTATTTGCAAGTTCAGCAAACCACATAGATGGAAAATCATTCAGTAACTTCATCATTTGCAGACGTTTGCGTATCTGATCACAGGCTGGGACTGACATTCACCATGGTCCCCAGGCCCTCAGATGCATAAAGAAATGACAATGCAGGGCTGCAGTATGTAGCCCATACTCAGAGAGGCAACTCCTCTTCATAAAGCAACTCCACTCAAGTTCTGGCAGAAGCTCTCACAAGCTGGATGTACTTCACTATACATGAAGTCTGTCTTCAGGAGGCAGACTGTACATGAAGGCTGTCTAACATGGCCCACTGTATCTGTGTTCAGTAAGACTTGAGTTCACCAGAGCCCTCTTAGAACCATCCCAATTCAGCATCTGTGCACTATCCTCTGAAACAGGGTCATTCAAGGGTTGTTTACTCAGAGAAATTATCACATCCACATCAAGCAGCTTGCTTCTCCCGCTATTTTAAGCTGAGCTACTTTTACCCCTGCTAGGAATCCACTGCAATGGAATAAACAACTCCTAGCTTTCGCCTCCTCCAAGTTTCAGGCAAAACATATTCTTCTTTCTATCCCTGAAAGTGGTATGGAGGACATAGTGTGGTGGGCTGACCCTGGCTAGACACTTAAGTGCCCACTGAATTTGCTCTATCATTCCCCTTCTAGAGAGACAGGAGAGAGAAAATACAACAAAAGGCTTGTGTGTCAAGATAAGGACAAGGACAGATCACTCGCCTATCACCATCATGTGCAAAACAGACTCAACTTTAGCAAATCAGTTACCAATCAAATCAGAGTTGGATAATGAGGAATAAACCCGAATCTTAAAAACACCTTCTCCCACCCTTCCTTTCTTCCTGTGCTCAACTTTTTACTTCCCATTTTCTCTCCTCTCTTCCAGCGGCACAGGCGGACAGGGGATGGGGGTTGTGGACAATTCATCACCCACTCTCTCTACTACTCCTCCCTCCTCACCGGAGGACTCCTCACACTCTTCCCCTGCTCCAGCGTCGGCTCCCTCCCACAGGAGAATGTTCTTCATTAACTTCTCCAACGTAGGCCCAATCCATGGGCTGCAGTCCTCATGAACTGTTCCAGTGCAGGTCCCTTCCATGGGGATTATGCCCCTGCATTTCTGGCAAGTTGCCTGCATGACCCTCAGTCTAACAAAACTTGCCTTGAGCTGAAGTGACTGCCCATATACAACAGTCTAGTGAGGCATTTTGCATATGCTCATTAATGGCTTTGGTGTATTCTGTCTTTCCCTCTGAAAACATCTTAAACAATTAATTGTGGATGCCAAAGAGATAATAGATAATTAGGTAAGAGACAATTTGAGGACTAAATCAGTTAACCGCAAGAATAATGGTTTGCATACCACATATGCCCCACTAATGAAGTATTTTTCTCTTCATTAACTAAAAGATATTTATATTAAATCATCTATAACACAGGGACCTTTCAAAACTAAGCACAGCAGTAGCCAGGATGCTTTTGCAAGCTTCTGCACCACAAATTAATGTAAAGTCCCTGCTTCTTGCTTCACCAATCTGGCTCCCACACACATAAGCTTCCCTGGAATTCTCCTTCTGGGGCTTAGGGTTCCTTGCCCTCCCCAAGAGAAAACATTTTAAAACCATACTTTGAGCCTCCTGTGTTTGAATAAGGTTGACCTAACTGGCTGAAATCACTGCCAGCTTCTTCATATGCCAGGGATTTTAACCAGCAAAACACACAATGTTCTTCAAGTAAGGACACAGTGATACCCATTTCATTAGGAAAGGCAGAAGCAGTGAACAAGGACATATGGTATGTGGAAAGTGAAAATATTTCAAAGGGCAAAGGTGGGGCATGAAGACTGAGAAGACAATTTCCAAGGAAGCACAGGCAGTAGAATGAGAGAAGAAACAGAAGCAGAGTGAAAATCTTACTGATTCCATTGGAATACAGAAAAAAAACAGGAGGAAATTACAGGTAGTAAGAAAGCAATACAGTTAAAAACAAAAGGGGAGGGGGGCAGGGAACAGAAACAATAAGACTTGCTTATTTTTGCTTTTCTCAGTCATACAGCTACAGCCATAGGTTCTTTCAGTTCATGTGCACTGCAAGAGAAGAGAAAATTTGCTGGTAACATCCAAGATAAAAATGAGGTGCTTGTCTTTCACTCGCATGAGGGTATTAGCATAGACTGAGGAAATCCCTAGTGCATTGGATGTTCTTCCAGCCACCCGTCTTGCACACTACCATACAGCAGAGTTGGGTTTGTTGCTTCCAAAGGAGGACAGCATCCATCCATCCAGCAGCCTGGACAGCATTTCTGGGCTTTGAGACCTGCTGAGCAGGACTTCACCACTCAGTTGTGCCTACTGCAGCCACAAAGGAGAGCAGTCAGGAGACACCTTGGCCACAGAGAACCCACAAACAGGTATTGTTTCAGAAGTAAATAAAAAAGGGACATTTTTCGCAAAGTAGCTTCTGAGAAGGGTACATAAGGATTTACAGGGCTGAATCTGTGTACATTCATAACTCTGTCTTCCAGCAACATCACTAGAGTTTGTGAACACAGCATACAGCTTAAGCCCTGTAAGAGGACTACGACCAAAGTATCCTTTAGATAGGCTGGTCCTATCTGTGTACCTGAGTTTACACACAACTGAACACTGCATGGAAATTCTGTAGGTCTTCAGATTAAGCAAGTTAATGCAGCCACTACATTACCTCCACCAGTCATTTATAGACCACTATACCTAAATCCTAACTTTATTTCTTCTTATGTTATTTGCAGAAAGGAAACCTGTAAACCCTACCACTGTACCATTAACTATTGTCCTCTACGAGATCTGAAAAGCATGAAGGCTGTAGCTCTCTTCATTTGTCTTGTAGGATCAGCTTTTGCTATTCCAGTAAGTCCTCATCACGCTATTATTACTAGGCAGTTAATTTCCCATTCTGTGAATATTCTATGTTATCCCATTGACTTATACAAAATTCTTACTTAAGTGCAGATAACGAATATATTTGTCTATTGTAGAGCCATCCCTTAAACTACAAACTCGGAAACTACGGACAGAAGACTCTAGAAAAGGTACTCCTCTTGTCCTTTAAACATTAAGGGGCAGCCTATATAATGAATCCCAAATATATAAAACACATTAGTACATATGGAGTGATCACAAACTTTAGGTTAAAAAAGAAATGTAGGGCCCTCACCTGACGAATGAGTACCAAGCAACTCGTGTCTCATGTATTACATAGTTGGAAACAGAACAGGACAAAATCTAAAGCTCACAACAGAAGTTTCACTAATTTGAAAAAGTTACCTTTAATGAATGCTCACATATAATCATTGTGCCCACATTTGTACAAACTATGAGCTCCACTGGCAGTCGAACTTGTGGTTATCACTGCTTCAGTGAACAAGGAGGACGCGATCCTCTTTTTATCATACCAAGTGATCAAATGCAGTCTCAAACATGTAATTTTATCCACCTTAAGTTTAATTATTCACAGCACAGAGCATTGGATACAGCTCATCTTGGAAAAGTACACTGTGGCTGACAAGCCAAATACACAGCCCTGATGGTATTGAGAGAGATGACTTCAGCAGCCCCATCCCATATATGCATCCTAATGACAGAGCTTTCTCATTCATGGCTGACTCAAATTAAAATTCCTTTTTATTTCACCATTCTAGTGAGCATTTGTGGTTCAGACACAATGGACCTTGACTCCAAGCCAATGAATGTTTTGGAACAACAATATTCAGAGCATGCTCTGTAGTAAGAAAAGCAAAATTCCAACTCCCATGTTCACCTTTTTCTTTAATTATCGATTATATCCCACTCTGGGCAGCTTTCCAGATGCATTGCATGTCAATCCAGGTGATGCTCTGCATTTTAAAAAACAAAAATTCCCTTTCCTTAATGAAGCATCCAGCAGAGCAAATTAAGATACATACACTAGTGTGTGGCCTACAGCTGTCTCCCAGAAACAACTCGTACATCAGACACCTGCATCAAAATAAAACTTTGCAATACCTAACAAATCATCAGTTCCAATATGCAGCATCTATCAAAGGCCAGCTGTCCCCTAACAGTAGCTAATTACAGATAGATTGACTGAAATTTACCATCCTATTAAGACTCAGGTATCTTCACAGGCAATCGAGCTCTAAAGTTTATTATACCTTGGGGACAAAGGTCTAACAAAAACTGGCAGCTAAAAGCCACATCTAGGCACAGCTCTGCCTTGAGGCTGTGCCTGTAATGTCACTTCCTGTCAAGACATGAGCCACATCTTCCTCAAACTTCTCCTATAAATACAGATGCACATAATAGACAATCTTAATGACCGTTTGGCCATAAAGTTTCTAATTCTGTAGAACTGGAAGCCCTTCACAGGAGACTGGGTTTTGCTTAAATTTAAAGACATATAAGAGGTCCACGAAGCAGTGCCCCAAACTCATGTAAACTCACGTAGCAGCAGTTACAAAACACATGTAAGAAGACCAAAAACTGATCTTGAAACTTATTTTTCAAGTGGTTTCACATCAGCTTGAGATGCTTGGTAACACACAGACCACTTTTTGTCAGGCTCTTCACTGAATTTCTGTTAGATCTGAGCGAACATACAATCTTTCTCTGAAAATTTAGAGTGGGAAATGACAGTGAATACACATTGCAAACACAAAATAGTAACACACTGAAATGCCACCTTCACACTAGGAAACAGGATACAACCATCTGCCAAGGGCCATATTAATGTGTCTAACCCTACAATTTATTAAATTTCTGTAATAATTTGTTAGTGTTCATTTCCAAGCAGTCACGACTCTGCCCACGGTAAAGGAGATGCTATTCCAGCAACCTGGGCACTGGGAAGGTCTCATCTTCATAAATAAGACATCCCTCCTCTCAAACCTCTAATGAATATCAGCATCAGGTGCCATACTGTAGCAAGCAATAAGCAACAGTAAATATCCACATGTTATTCAGAAATACATCTGGTATTGCTGCTATTGGAAGTGTCTATACTCATCCAGCAGCTGCTGCAATGCTAATATCAGAAAGCCAATTGCTGCAGCAAGAGCTATGAGTCATTTTAATACCCGTTTTTTCCTTGAGCATTTGAACCTTTTTCACTGACGTTACTAGTTGTGCCATTGGCTTGACAGCATGTATAAATGAGCGTAGCGAGTTTATGATGCAGTAGTTGCCACCAAATACAATAGTTCCCGATGAATCCAACTAGGAAGCAATTATGTATCAGGCTCGAAGTAGATTAATACGTCGATTAATAGCTAAGATGCAGTGCAATCCTCAGGAATTGCTACCATGACACCTTGTGCAAGGTGGTCTCTCCCCCTGATGCTCTTTTCTATTTATTTGTGCAGAAAGACTAGCATGACATCCTCTTTCTCTGGGGTAACTGATAATTACAGCAACCTGAAAGTGCCTGAAGTTACGACACTAAATTACTACATTAGTAAGCATTTTGAGATCTCACAAGACGCCCATAGGCATCTATCTTCTGTGGGATCTTAAACACAGTTGCAGAGACCCCTTTAGAAACTCCATCAATCAAAGAAGGGACAGATAACCAAATCTGCTGAGAAATGGAAGTGACATCAGCTGTGAATTTCATGCTCTGGGCTAGCTTGAAAGTAGCTTTTATAGGGAAAACAAAGTCAGTGTCACGCTTTGCAATACAAGGCAAAAATGAAATAGTACTGACTTAAATAAATTTTAAGATTTATTAATTTACTTGGGTTTTTTAATTTGTTTGTTTAAAGGCTGAAGATGTTCATCTTGACGCCTCAAAGGAAGAGATCACAGGGTATGCTGACAATGGTGATTTGCTGCCCAGCTTCAAAAGCCTAAATCCAGAAATATCGGTACCAGATGCTGAGCACATAGGTGAGCTCCAGACCACTAGAAAACAAGGAAGAACCGGTAGTGAGCATCAAGTGAAAAATGGCCTAAAAAGCATCAATTTCCTTGTGATGCACAATAAACCAAGTTTGGCTTCCAATAAGCAGGACAGTGACTCTGGAAGCAGCAGCAGACAACAGTCCAGCTCTGAGCATTACCAGTTCAGGAGGCGAGAGAAACACAGCAATACAGCTAAACCACATGTTCTGGGCAATGCAGAAAATCCAGTGGATGCTCTCAGTCTTGATCGTGAGCATAACACATGGAAATACAATAAAAATACAGTTGGCCTATCTGAAGAAAACAGTGAAAGTGATGAGGAAGAACATGTGGAAGAGGAGGAAGAGGAATGGGGTGAAGAAACCGATTACAGAGATACAAATTACAAAGGCTACCAGACAAATCAAGGTAACCAATACAAAATACAGCAAAATGAAAACAGTATGCAACCTGATGAAAGCCTGAGAGATTCCAGTCAACCAATCCAGATAGCCAAGAGACATGGTGAGAAATTTGACCTAGAGGAAGAAGAGAGGAAGCATGGCCTGAAAAAGCCCTATAAAGAAAAAATCCTCTCTCAAAAAACACACAATGAAGATCAGGATGACAAATGGCAAAGCCAAGAGAAGAAAGACAATATTCAAGTAAACTATCAGAGTGATCACAACACAGTAGTGAAAAGACAAGATATAGAGGACGATAATGTTGATGATGATGGTCATGACAGTGGTGATGTTGATAGTGAGGAATATCTCAGCAATACCTGGAAAGAAGCAGCCTATGAGGAAGAGGAGAGAATCCAGAGTAATGAGCAGGAGAGCACCAGTACTGAGCATGAAGGGGAAGAAACCACTAAAGATGACACTGCAGTTTTTAGAGAGACTGAGGATTACAAAAATGTCAAGATTAAAGAACTTATTCATTCTGAACAAGATGATTATGATCATGAGCCACCTAATTCTGACAGCAACCAGCAATTAGAAATTACTAGCTCTGTTCAGAGCATGAATTCAATGGAAAGTGAAAATAAGGTAAATTCTCTTTAAAATAAAGTTTGAGTACTACAAGAAGGAGGGGGGAATGACATTGTGAGTCCCAAATTTAAATTCCTGATGATCGAAATGATATATTGGATAAAAGCAGGTGTAATAATTGATATACAGAAGTCTCATCTCTCCTCTAATTCACTATTCAACAGGCTCATACTATGTCACTTCACGTGTAACATTCAGATGAATTGTACCAGAAAGGAAGCGACCACAGCTCATGTAAAAGCTCCAGACCTGATGGACTGTATGACAAAATATACAAATAAATATGGATACTCAGATATAAAACCTGGAACTCAGTCTCAAGCCATCTACAAGAACATGTAGTGACAGGGCAAGGGATAATGGCTTTAAACTGAAAGAGGAGAGATTTAAGTTAGGTATTAGGAAGAAATTCTTCACTATGAAAGTGGTGAGACACTGGCACAGGGTTCCCAGGGAAGCTGTGGCTGCCCCATCCCTGGCAGTGTTCAAGGCCAGGTTGAACGGGGCTTTGAGGAACCCAGTTTGGTGGAAGGTGTCCCTGCCCATGACAGGGGGTTTGGAACTGGGTGAGCTTTAAGGTCTTCTCCAACCCAAACCATTCCCTGATTCTGTGACTAGGAAATGCAGGGCTAGAGTTTCTGGAATAATTACCATGGCTAGAGCACTTCCACAAGATGAATGATGTGGGCTTTGTCGCTTCAGACAAAGAAGGATGCTGCACCCAGATCTCCCATACACCCATCAGCAAGTAGATGATTAGTGGAATATCAAGGTGTTCTTCAAAAAGAAAGGAATGAGTTTTTTCTTTGCTGTTAAATAAGGACCTAAGCGCCTGTTTCTTCCTGTCCACCCCTACTTCCCCCACCCCACTCCAAATAACAGAGTGCCTTAATGCCACCAGAGGTGGTATTACTGTATTATGCACTTCTCACACATTTTGCATAGCAACCCCTTTCTGCTGCAAGCAGAGCACCCGGTGTTCAGTCAGCTTTCTATTTGCTCCTGAGAAAAAAACTTGTCCAAGTATATTTTCTTCCCAGGATTTATCACAACTTCTGCTTTTGTCTCTGTGACTGCACAGGTTGAGTCTACACGCGGTTCCTATGGCAAGACGGAAAGTGCAAGCAACAGGAGTGAGAAGGCTTTCCTGGGTAAGCCACAAGCAGAGCCATCACGTAACTGATAACTCTCTGCAGCTGGGGAATTTGCTGGTCTGCATTTCTTTTCTGCATTTGGCAGCACATGATTTCACATGATTGAATTGTGCATAAACCTGCATCGCAGTTATGTTACAACAGAATCCCTTCTATACACCCTTGGATTTACTCATTTGTTTGTGAAAACCACTTGTAGACAGTGCACAAATTTTTGTGTCAGTTATACAGAAGTGAGAATTATTTTGTACTGAAAATATTCAGTTTCAGAACAGTAGCTTGAATTCAGCTTGGAGTGGGGTAAGTGCTAGAACTAGATTCAGCAAGGACAGATATGTCCCAAAGGAAGCCAGAAGTGAACGTCAGTCCCTATAGAATAAATTGCTTTTTCTGATAAATTTATTTCCCCATCAAACTTGGGACTGTTCACAGTCTCACCAAGAAGTTTGGCTTGCTTTATTCAATACAAGATCTGTTGCATTTTAACAAACTTTATAAAACACCTGACTTCTTGGTGAATATTTGGCTGTATTTTGCTTTGACTGTCAGTAGCACCTGATAGAAATGTTTGGCTTCATCCTGTTCCTTCTAACAGTCCCTCCTTCTTGCTATGACCTCCAGACCCATGTAGGAACTTCCACTGCAAAAGAGGTAAAGTGTGCCATGTGGACAAACAAGGGAAACCCAGCTGTATTTGCCAAGATCCTGCTGCTTGCCCTTCCACCAAAGACTATGAGCACGTAAGTATATCATTCAGTGCACAGCATGGGGAAAAAACAACTAAAATGTTTAAAAGATAACACATTCTCCTGCTATTATTTAGAATAGTTCTACCTTAAAAAGCATGCAGTGGGGCTGGGTGATTCCAGTAATTGTAAAAGTATAAAGTACCCAAACTCACTGATTATAGCTTGAGAATAGTAGGAAAACATGTAGCTAATTAATACCTAAAGTGATTTGCTTCACTTAGTCTCTCAGTGATTGTAAATTCCCCTGTCACTGTAAGTTCTATTTATCTGTTTGGTATTTTAGAGCATATACAGAACACTATACATGTCTAGTGCAGTAGTCCTGTACTACCTAAGAAAGTATATTAATAACACACAAAAATAAATTCCAAGTGTGTCAAGACAGGGTCTGTAAGTACAGACACCTAATCCTTATGTAGCCATATAACAGCTACAGTTTTCAATACTTCTGATCACATGTATTCCCAGATGCTACCCCATAGGTTAACAATGCTTGTATTATTGCAATGCCTGTATGAGTGACCAAAATTTCTCTCAACAGTGATGGTGGTGGGGTGGGTTTGTTTTTTCACTCCTCTTCTAGGTTTGTGGTACAGATAATAAGACTTATGATGGCATATGTCAACTCTTTGGCACCAAATGTCAACTTGAAGGGACAAAAAAGGGACGCCAGCTGCACCTGGACTATTTGGGCTCCTGCAAATGTAAGGCTTGTTTTCCTGTGAAAAATTCACCTAGGTATTAAGAGCTAGCAGTCTTAACTGCTGGCTAGCCATAACTTACATGCTTTCTTCCTCCGCTCCCCCCCTTCTGCATCATTTATCTGCTAATTAAGACCTTCAACCCTTAAAATGTCTAAAATGTCACCTTTTCTATAATTAAGGGTAGTAAAGACATTCCGCTTTTGCTTAGACTGATTTGTTGACAAACCTGTCTTCCTCCTGCACTGTCTTACATGCTCCCATTGCTATAGCATCTGAAGGTATTTTTTAGCATCTTGACCAGAAAACCAATATTTACTGAGAGTTAAAAAATTACAATCTCAGGTCCCCAAAAACCCAACAAAACATCCCAAAACTACTTAGATGCCAGATGCAGAAGCCAGGATCTAAAATCCAGAACTGATTTCCAAGCTGTTCAACTGCTGCATACCCTGGGAGGAAAGTGCCCTCTCAGCCATACAATTCCTTTTCTGTCAAGAACTTTGCTTTCACACAACTGATAAGAGTTTCACTGCACATCTCTGCTCAGAAGCTCTACAGATATATAAACGTTGTGGTACCCACAACTGGTTAAGCATGTGCTCCAAAGAACTGTAGATTTATAACTGAACCCATAGGTTGCTTTCCCAATTTTATGCATTAACAGCTCCACCAGTTTTAAGCTTAACTGGAAATCTGCTAGCGAGAATCAAATCTAACTTGGCTCAGAAATGCTTGAATGGGGACTTAACAGATCACTTGTTAACGAAAGCTTTCCTGTTTGCCACAGACATCCCACACTGTACTGATTATGAAGTGGATCAGTTCCCTCTCCGGATGCGAGACTGGCTCAAAAACATCCTTATGCAATATTATGAAGGGGATCTGGATAATTCTGGATTTCTAACTGAAAAGCAAAGGAATAAGGTCAGTAACATTGCTAGAGGTGGACTAACAATGTGAAAAAAGTGATTTCACATCTTCTCCCATTTCAATGAGTTCTCCCACTTCCTATGAGCATTCCCTTTCTAGTCAAGGCAATTTATACTCAACTAGATTAAAAAGTTGCAAAAGACATTTATACGTGTCCTCACACACATTTGAGACACATTTCTGCTATGAATGTTCCTTTTGTCCAAGCAAATGAAAACCAATTATATTACTTTGAAGTCAGTGTCTACAGACAAGAGGCAGAAAAGTCAGAATTAGCACATACCTAGATAAACATTGCTTGCTTGAGAAGACACCAAACAGCTTCTGTTCAGGTACATTCTTTGTGACAGATCTCTTGGAAAGATCAACCCATACATAGATAAGAATGACTCAATTCATGCAGTCAGTACCATTTTCCAAAGGACTTGAGGAAACCAAGCAGCCAGAAGATGGTATGGATAGCTAACTAATTAAAATGCAGAATAAGAAGGAACAGCCAGCCTAGAGCTCACATGTGGAGTCCCATGAGTTGAAAGGAATTGTGCCATTCAGTTTTTGTTAAGTAACCTGGAAAAGGAAGGTAGGGGACAAAGTCTGCCGACAATGCACAGGAATTCCAAAGTAAGTAAGTAAGGAAGGACTTAGGCTCACCAGGAAGGAAAATGCTCAATATCTTAGGAGACTGGGCAGTCACAGGAGGATTCAAGACAGAACTACAACGGAGAGTTTAGGGGAGCCTTATGGGACAGGGAATCTCTGTGCTGAACTGACCAAAAGTAGCTCCTCTTCTGTTCTTGAGACATACCTTGTACTTGGCCATCAATACAAAAGTACCTGAAAATAGACTCAACACTTAAGGGTATCATTTGCACTATTTAATCCAGCCACACCATCTACACCATGATATTTAAGGGCTATAAATTACACAACTCTAACATTCAGTTTTAAGAGAAAAGAGCTGCTCTCTACCATCCAGTAGACCTGCAGCATCATGCTACACTGGCTTAAAATGGAATAAGCATCTATTACCATCGTGCTTTTGTTTGTTTTAAATAGAATTATTTATGCCAAGTGAATTGACAGTAGCTTGTTTTGAAGATATAGATGTCATAACTGCCTAAAAAGCTGTAAGTGTTAGAAATAGTTTACTTTACACCAAGACCTGGGCTGCTCTAAGTCCAGAGTAGGAGATGCATGCAGTATGTCACAGCAGTTTTATACAAAATATGCTTGAGTAACACCAAAGACTACTTACACAGTTACCAACAGGGACACTGACCTACTCAAAACATCTCATACTAAAAGGTACAAATAAGATGATTTCTGAATGGCTTGTTTCATGCCAAAAGTTGAGCTGCTTGCCTCAGAACAGATCAAGAACTGGTAAAACTGGTTTCATCTCTTACCAACCTGAGGCTACTGCCCTGCTTAGCCGAGTCTGACAATGAGACCACAGGAATTTTACTTCCTTCCTACTTACTACAAAAGCTGATACGGAGAGCAACAAAAATTACCTGAGGTAAGCTTTTCATGCCATGTATAGTCACAAACACTAAACCCCATTTCCGCTGTGGTATTTCACCAAGTTTCATTTCTCCAAACCACCTCCTTGCTGGATAGTTCTCTTCAGGACAGATCTTCACCCTTAAATAAAAAAACCCCGCTGATTTCTCTGTTGTGTTAGGTCAAAAAGATCTACGAGAATGACAAGCGCCTCACAGCTGGCAACCACGCTGTTGAGCTGCTCCTGCACGACTTTGAGAAAAACTATCACATGTATGTGTATCCTGTGCACTGGCAGTTCCATCAGCTTGATCAGCACCCTGTTGACAGGTAAAGAAAGATCTTTGTGGTTCAGATTTGCTGTTGAAGTTCAGGCTGTTTCACTTTTCTAAACCACTCAAAGGACTCTCTATCTGCAGGACCAGCCCCTCAGCTGACAGAAGTCCATATCCCCCTCTTTCTAAGGAGCCATTCGTCTAACACAGAACCTCCCTCATTGTTTTGCTGAAGCCATGTTTTGGGTCAGAATGTGGTACCCTCTTGCCTTTAATGATCATCATACATTACACCTTAGGGTCTATAGTGTCTTCATAGCTACTAATGCCCTAATTCTGAAAGAAAACAAGGCTCAAAAGATTCTGTTATTACTGAAGCTAAGAGCAACTGGCCAAGTACAAATGGCAGAGGCCTGTCAGCAAGAATTCACTAGTGGTATAGCGATAGCTTTCAAATAATGCCACGGAAGTCTCACAGTTTAAGGAACACATATGGTAAGACAGCACCAGTGTCACAGTCCAGAGGAAGCCCTCAGCTTCTGAGAAAGTGACTCAGATTTCAGGCTTTTAGTCATGCTACTCACTGCCAGAATTCATGTTCCCAGGCTGCAGGCTCCCAGTACCTCGTGCTGATCACACCTACTGTCTTAGAACATAGCTAAGCACCTTTGCAAGCTGATCTCCTGAAGATTAACAGCAAAACTCCACAACTTCTTCTAAAAAAAAGTGTTAGCAAACAAATAGCAGTAAAAACATTTTAGTTTATCATCAGGTATTGAACATCATTGTAATGACCTGGGACAGATTCACTACGGAAGCAGCACAATAAAATCCACCAGGGCACCTGTGTCAAAGCCACCAGTCATCTTCTAGCAGCTTACATCATCTTTGATGATGCTGACGACTTATTAATGAAATACAGCTCTACATACCTGCTCTTTCTTTCAGATTATTAACACACTCAGAGCTTGCGCCTTTGCGAGCCTCCCTTGTTCCCATGGAACACTGCATAACCCGTTTCTTCCAAGAGTGTGATGGAGACCGTGATAAACTCATTGCTTTGAAGGAATGGTGCCACTGCTTTGGGATTAAAGAAGGTAAACCTAGAAGAACAGACAGATGTACAGGACAAAATGTTCCTATCAAACTAGACATGTTTTCAGACCACAACATATGGGATTGTAGCCAGAGGCTCATGGCTGTTGTGCACAGAGGCAACTGGAACAGCAGCAAGACTGCAAAAGGTTCAAGGTTCTGAATTGCTATATAAAGATAGGGAAAAAAAATAATCTTTTCCATGAGGAAAAATTTGGGAGGTAGTTTGTATTAAATATCAAATAATTCCTGTGTGATGTCTGAACCTGTATGTTCCACATGTCTATCTCTTAGAACACTCTATTTTACTCCTTGGTGCCAAAGGAAAGGCAAAGTGAGCATGTGCTTTTAAATGAGTGATAAAAACATACTGACTGAAAATGCCTTTAAAGATCTTGAGCCAAGCAGAGAAAACAACAGAGATCTCTCACTGATCAAGTAACTATGCTCACCTCTAGATCGCTATATACAACACAAATGCTGTCATCACACAATAGTTGCAGGCCAAACCACCTATTTCACCTCATCTGTCAGTTGCAAGACACACCCAGATGGTGCCCACCAGACTGCATGCATCAGTAGGCTTAGGCAGAGGCAGCATCAGTTTCTGGATCCCAAATGCACTTATGCATATGTTTGGCTCAGCTCAATCCACATCGAGACTTCTCTAGAAAAGTGAAAAGCTAGATACCACTGTGCTGGTGATGTCTCTAGGATTCAGAAGCAGTTGAACAGAAGCTGGCAAGTGAGATTTACGTACCTGTATTTAACGTAGTACATTCTTTTGTAATCCACTGTCTTCTGATCTAACCCTGAGTGACAGCTGAACAATACTGCCATTCAGCAAGGGTAGCAGTAGCACAGGTTAATCCTAGCTATGTGACAGAAGGCCTTTGGCGAAATGTGCAGACTGAAGTAATGTGCTCAAAATCCTACTAGCAACTCCCTGCTTTTAACTGAAGGCTGATCCCAGTCAGACATGCAGTCTTCACTCTTCCCAGAATTTTTCCAGGTCTTCTGATAACAATCTACCAGTCACAAATCACACATGGAAGTAAGCTGTGAGGAGTTAATCATAATATACATGTACTATGGCAATGACTGTTCATCCAAAGAGGGGTTTAGGGTCAGTCATTTGTGAAGAGTGGGGTGGAAGGGATTCTTGTCTTACAAACAGATCAAGGAGACCCAACACTAGAAACAAAAAAGCACCTATCTAGAAGGGTCTAAAGGGATGGCTCCTGGATACGATAGCAGCAAGCATATTTGGATTTTTGTTAGGGATATCATTCCCCTACATGAGTCCTCTGAAACTTTAGTGTATCACCTTCTTGACAGTGATACAGCATAAAAATGTCTCTTTGGCATCAAATGTTAATAAAGTTTTCTTTGTTGCAGAAGACATAAATGAAAATCTCCTGTTCTGAGCCTGGCTGAATAGAATCCAAGTGCTGCACTAAAACCGGTGAAATAGGTGAATTCTGTTTCTTTCTGTAATTAACAGCTTCAGAGTTTTCAAGACACAGGTGGCATAAGGTTCAGTGCATTCTTATCTAACACAAGGCAGAAAAGTATTATATTCAGTAACAGCAGAAAAAAAAATATTAACTACTCCAAGTGGTTCATAGACAACTAAGCATTCCCCCATGTACTCATGATCTCTCTGAACCAATAAATAGTACTAAGCTGATGACTGAGCTGTCCATAAAACCCTTCAGTAGAATGCTAGGATGTGGATTTAAGTGTACACTTAAGAAAGTTAACTTAAAATAGGACTTGTTTCCTTTATTTACTGTATCGTCTGTTTAGCATTCTGCATAGAAGCCTCAAATAAAAGTCTACCTAGATACATGGGTTTTGTCAGAACTTTGTCAAAGAAAGTTTATCAAGGCAACAGTTCAATGGAAATTTCATTTCAGATTTAAGGCAAGTGAAGAAACTAGAGGGTACATCATGTATAACACCGGTCCTAAAACCATAATTCCTAAAATGCATGAAGAAAATCCAGAGCTTTTCCAAGACTTCTTCCCCCACCTCCTAAAATGCAACAATAATAGTACCAATACCACACAGTTGACAAACTGTGTAATAAGCTAGTTGCATGAGCATGTTGATGTGTGTCAAGACAGGCAACAGGCCCACCATCACAAGGAGCAGAGGATATAAACAGCTCCAACACCTCCTTGTTCTCCTTAGTAGGCACATTCTTCCTGCCTCCCACAGAAGCAGCAACTACTGCTACCATTTTTCCTGAGAAAGAAATGCTAGCTATTTATTTCACTATCTCCCAACTTCTTCTTTCCTAAAGACAGATACAAGTTAGGCATAAAAATCATGACAGAATGAGATTATTCCTGAATCCTATTCTCTTTGTGATTTTAAGCCAAGCATTTCACTAAAAGTGCTCCAGGCATGCTCTGCTGTAAGCAAGAAGCCCCAAATGCTATTCCTACAAAGGGAGGTCAGAAAACACCTTTCGCTTGAAGCACAACACCTTTCAATGAAAAGAAAATGGAATTCAGAAATGCTGTTTGGCAGCTTAAATAGTGGAAATCCGCTTGCCACTTGCTAATTTCTTCTTGAACCATCAAGGACTGCTAATCCGTATAGCTCCAGTCTGATGCCCTGGGAAAAAATGAATCAAGCTATGATTACTTTCAATACAGGAACTTCTTAAAAGCAAAAGATTATTTCTCTCCAAAAGCAGTTTCACTTACAGCTTCTCCTATAATCCAGATTTGTCACCCACTTCACACTCTGTAACATCACACAGCAGTGTACATAAATCAACCTGGATTACATGTACAAAAGCATATTCCCTGTCTCACCCAACCTGTTCTGAAATTCTCAGTGATGCTGCCACTTCAGCTTTTCCATTGCAAGGCACAGAAAAGGAGCATTTGCTAGTGTATGCAGAGATAGATGCTACCTACAGTCACAAGAAAAAATCTCACGTGAGCTCATGTAGCCTGTGAAGGGGCAAACACCACCAGTATTTAATCTACAAATTACAAGAGCACTAAGAGTAAAGATGATAAATGAAAGCAAGTTTCCCCATCCATACTTTAACTATGTTATTATTCTGTATTAACTTATAAATATTTTAATCTTTATTATTTCTTCATTTTGTGAAGTATATGACAGTGATGATTTTATTGATCTTCTGTAGACTTGGTTGTTTCCATTTAGTTTTAAATGAACCTAGATTAAAGCATTTATGATGTTTTAGTAGGACCACAGACGAAACCAAATGTGCAAGAAAAGGTGAGCAAGGACTGAAAGAAAAATTAATAACTCTTAGCACTACTTTTTCCTGAGAAAGTAACATACGTTAACTCTACAAGATTCCCAGTGTCTCCCCACATAAATGCATATGACTTCTCCAGATTTCATTAGTTAATTGGGAAGAAGTGGTGTTGTAAAGGAACAAGCCCTAAAAACAGTCATTAGTTAAGCAGGATGTGGCCAACAGTCTCAACAAGGCATGAGCATGTCACAGTACTGTTAGAGAAGGCAATTCCAGACCACGCCATTCACCACCATCTGACTTCAACACATGGCTCAAAATTCATTAAGATCCCCTCCCCAGGTCTCAACCATAAAATTAAGCTGTCACTGTCACCAACTCTTGACACTTAACGCAATTAACAGCAATTACGCCTGCAATAAAAACATAGGGAGACATGTCAGCAACTGTTGTGCAGCTATTGTTACCAGCATAAATGTCACAGAAGGTCCACATCAGCCTCCTGACTGCAAGTGACTCACATTACTTAAACTGAAAAAAACACCCCACCACAATTTACAAGATTATACTTTAAGGTTGCTCTTTCCAATGATCCTGTTCATGGCACAGTCCTCCTAACAGCCACAAGCAGTATGAAGAGAGGAACCTTAAAATCCAGCTCCTGAAGTTAGTCATCAAGTTACATCCACCAACAGATACTGTTATAGATAGAGGCACTGTCAGACATTCAGATGTGAATATCATCCATACTTTAAACTAGAGAGCAAGAAACGTGAAAACTAGTATCTCAGAAAATCACTGAAAAGGCACATTAAGCAAAACTCAGAAAAGAAATGTCATTTTATTATGTAGCACTTCAATCAAGTTATTATTCAGGCTATCCTCCCACAAGCCTCTCATCCTGTATGGATTCATACACTTAACAAGAAATGAGTGCAAAAATACAGAGATAAAGTGGAGAGCCTCTGAATTATAACCAGTCAGAACCCCTGTGTTCTCATGCAGATCGGCAGATGTTACAAAATGGTTGCAAATAAGGAAGACAAAGCAAAACAAGGTAACAGTTCTACATTCACATCATTTCACATTAGGTAAGAAATCAAAAGAAGCAATCTGAAGCCTCTATTTATCATTGCCAAGTGTTTTTGCCAGATGAATTTTGCAGAATTGTCACTGAAAAGGACACCGTTATCCGTTTCAAAGCTGGAAAATGTATTCTCCCCTTGGTGTTCACTGGTTCTTCATTTACATCACTCATGGCAATCAGGACCAGGATTCTCACTCCAGTGGGCTCCCCGTTTCTCAGTCACAAGCTTAACAAAGTAGCTATGACTTGCATACAGCTTGAGCTTCTCAGTGATGTCAACCCACTTGACCATTCCAGCATCATCACCTGCTTCCAGAGGCAAATTATCCAGTGTCTCACCTGTTCACAGAACAAGAGTTAGGACATGATACTGCATCTTCTTTCCTGCTTTTTCTTCTCACAACTGACCAGTTCCACCCTTCCACATGGCTCTTTCACAGGCAGCAATCTTCAACTACTTCTCAATCAATTAACTTGCTCACTGTTTCTGTGCCACAAACCTTTTTTCATACTTGCACTATTTTACACCAAATCTGAGTAGCAGAGATGGTGTTAACTCCTTGTCACCACTTCTGAGGTATCATCAGCAGCATAAGTTAATAGAAATCATTATGACAACATGTACTCACTACCACAAGTTTAGCTAATCCCTCTGCCTTGGTTTGTTTGTTTGTTTGGCTGACATCTGACTGCTTCCTTTCTCAGGCACTGTTCTACAGGACAAACTGAATTCTGAAACATACATGCTTACGGAAAACCAAAATAATTAAAATTTTACTAAAGGCCCCACAAACAAAAACAGTACTTAAGGAGGGACACAGAGAAGCTTCTGAACTGCTCTCCAACGCTTCTTACTCTGTTTCCAAAAAGAATCCCAAGGACTTCAGACAACAACCAAATAAAGGCTTTTAAAAGTATTAGAAAATGTGTATTAGAAACAAAAAGGAACAGTATCTTCGCAGTTTGAGTGCTGATAAATCAAGGACCAGTGACATGTGAAACTCCACTGGTATCTATTACCCAAAACACAGTGGAAATGTCATTAGATGAAGTCTCTGACTTGTTCACCTAACTAGGTTGACTTACCTTAAAGGCAAAAGATTAGACTCCATGTTAACAAAGCAATCTAAGAGCTAGCACCATATGCTATGCCCATTTCTACTGATTTATTATTTTATTTATAAGGTCCAACAGTTACTCTGGCACAGTAACCAAGATAAAAGGTCTCAGAGCAGTTACAACAACAAAGCAATAAATGCAGTGAGAATCTGACAGCAGCCAGATGGAATGTTCTCGAAGCACACACTAGCAACCAAAGAAAAAGCATCAAGAGAAACAGACTATCCTCCCACCCCAGACTCATTAAAAAGGAAATTAAATGAATTCAAGGTAAACAGTGACAAGAAGGAATCCTTGTCCAATGTCCAACCTCCATACGAAGATTGAGCTTCTCAAGGCACAAAGTCCACAGCTTAGAAATAGCTAACAAACACATCATTTTCAGGCGAAGTCCTTATATTTCATCCTTCTTTCATACAACCCAATTTCAAACCAACATACAGAGTAAAAGGCAACTAAAAGCACATATGGAGACACCCACCAGTTTCATCATGATAGTTCACAGCCTCTGTCTCCATCCACGCATTATCAGTGTTACGAGGGTCATCCACATATCCTCTGTATACCTAAGGCCTCAAACAAACCAAAATAAGCTCAGTGTCAAACAAACAAGGTGGAAGCACTAAGATTTTTTTTTTCCTTTCTTCCTATACATTTGCCCTTACACAGTTTTCAATAGTCACTTCCTACACCCTGACAATCTGAGCATCACAGCTTATTTCCATTTTAGCAACACTCTTCCAAGCTCCACACAGCTGTGAGTTACATGCATAGCTCAAGAGGCCATCACAAGAGACAGAGAGCTCACCACAAAGTGTTCCTGGCTGAACAGCTTGTGGAGTTGCTTCTCTAATTCCGCTTTCTCCTCAGGCGATTTCTGCAAGGAATTCAAGGCCTCCTCCTCAAATTCTCGCTTCAAGGTAGCACTAATCTTCTCCCCTGGGTCCACCATCCCCTTAAAGGGAAGGGGAGAAAGAAAACAAGAAAACAAACATGACTATCCCTCAGATTCCGCTTGGACTTAATCCCCTTTAACTGGCTCTTAGTATATGACATCCACCTGCATCATACTCTGGACATGGGAAGAACTGTACACTTAGCTGTAAAGCATGAGCATGCACATCCTTCAAAACCTGCAATAGATTAAATTATGCCTGCATTAAGCAAAATACATGATCAGAATTAAATACAAATATTGCCTTGTAATGCAGAAACAGCAGAAGGCATCCCACCTGATGCCTGAGCAAAGTCAGTTTAAGGAGCCTTTCTCCGCACCTCCGTACATGAGGCTGTTCACCAGAAGGCATGCTTTTACTGCACACACACAAGTTATGCCTCATGTCCTTGCCAGCAGGGAAATGTCTACTGTTACCAGAGCTTTGTTCTTACCCCTGGAAT